ATCTCGTCTGGAAACTACACTGGCAGTAAGTCTCCCACCAACACACACCCCCGCATCCCTTGACTCGCAAACACCACCTCTTGGCATTCGATGTGTTGAGACTAACGTGCACCGCGCAGGGGCACCCGGCCCCGACCGTGTGGTCTTCGATCCGGATTACCGGGGCAGCTGCGTCTTTGTCGGCGCAATGACCCACACCGGCGCCGTCCAGCGCAACGGTTTTGTTTCGTGCAATGAGTCTTCGTCAAGCAGCGGCAGTGGCAGCTCGGCGGCTTCGAGTATCACCACCTCAGGCTCATTCGGGGTTCTACTGCCTGTGCTGTCTCTGCTTGCTCTTACCGCTTAATGAAACCAAAAATTAAACAGACTTCTGGCTTAATGGACTAGAGGGAAAGGAAATAATGGTGGCGGGGCACATGTTGGGTCTGAGAGTTACCGAGGCGATGGAATTTGCCGGTGCTCCGGTTCTGGGCCTAGGTGGACCGCTGGAAGGTTTAGGAAGTCTGAGCTAGATCCACATTAATGAAGTTCACATTTCTCTTTTCCTATTCTCGTGTTAGCCTTTGCCTTTGAAAAACCACTTACCCGAGTCAATATAGAGTCGAAGCCCTAGGTAGTTTTGTTTGCTTTTATATTCCGTGTAGTGTACTCTACAGCGATACTCCAACCTATGTAGTGTACGCATACACCCAAGCGCTGGATACGAATGCCAACAGATGCTTCAAGATGCTTAAAGATGCTTAAAGATGCTTAAAGATGTATGCATTATTACCCTGGTGAAGAAACTACGCTACTTATCATGTTGGATTATAGTCACAATAGCCTGGCTGTCAACACACTTGAAAACCAGCTTGAGCGAATACCCCCGGAGCATGTCTTATAAGCCACTTCTTTGAACTGGTTGCCGTTGTTCATCAAACAGTGATCCTAATTTGGCAAAATCATCCACGCTTGGATGCGCCCTTTTAGGTGAAGGCGGGCCATTTGGTGAGTCATTCGTGACACAGTCTACATTGTCTGAAATATATGTCGGAGACGTAGATATATGGCTCGGCTGTCTGGAATGGGTCCTCGTAACTCCACCGTAGGAATCTAATTCTGAAGGTGATTGGCTTACTCCCGGAGACTGTGGCTATCTTGCGTGAGCAAACATACCGGAGAAGGGGCTGGACCAACAGGATTGATCCAAACATACGTACTTCAACTCTGATAAACATCGGATTGATGCCATTCTCATACTCGACGTCTGGCGGGCACGTCGCCAGTATGTTCGCGATCTCGGCCATGATCTTTCGACAGTCTGGGCGCTCCGTCGAGACTGGCACAAGCATCTTCTCTTCGATGAAGTCCAGAAATGCTGTTAGCTGTGTGGGACAGCTTTTTTCGTCACGCAGCTTCTGGATCCACTGAGAGATTGTGAGCTTCGCACGGTCACGCCAAGCGGTCATTCTCTGCAGTAATTGCCCACCAGTACAACCACTATAATTCAGGGCGAGAATTGTATGTGTGGGAGGGGCGAACTTACGGTGGTCACTGAAGGCTTGATCTTCGCACGAAGCTTACGGGAACGTCTTGTCGGCTTTTCAAGGATGAAAAACTTATCCTCCGGCAATCGCCTGTGTCTCTCCTCCTCGAGACGTGAATCCGTAAAGCTCGTATTCGTCGCGGCGTATCCGAGTAGGAACCACGAAATGAACTCCAGAAAAACGCATCCTAGGGACCATATATCGTATTTCGGAGATATCTTTTTCCCGAGATCGAGCTCTGGGGGTCTGTATGAGCCTGAATAGCCAGCAATCGACTCAGGGCGTACCTTTGACCTAGAATTCGTCGTGTTGAAGCTTGTGAGGCCAAAGTCGGAGATGACCAAGAAATTTTTAATCTTCTCGTACTCTTGAAACCAAAGAATATTCTCAGGCTTAATATCTCCGTGGCGTCCCCATCTCTTTTCTTTGCATTTTCCCTGTTTGAGTTCCACGAGTGACTTGGCTCCCGCGTTGGACAAGTCGGAGAGGCTGTTCAGGGTATGTATTTTGTGTAAGCCTTTGGTAAGGCCTCTACACTGATGCAGTAACCATGCCACCCCGTTTTTGTTTTCGGGATTGAAGCGATGCATCATCCAAAACTCTCGGAGGTTTCCATCAGCCCATGGAAAGACCAGGAAATAGCGGTCGTCATGCAGGTAACTGAACTGAAGCTGAATCAGGTGTTCCGGTTTTTTATGTAGGCCTCGTGCTCCGATCTTTGTGAAAAGCTGCATTTCATCGTCATAAGCCTTCCTTGTCAGGCTATGGAGTTCCTTGACCGCAAAACTTCTGCTGACACGACTCTGAAGGGATACGTTAGCTTCTGGTTCCGAAAATTGGTGAAATGTTTCATATTACCGTGCAGCCGTCGACATGGATGTAGTGAGCCTGATGGATCTGCGCTTTCCTCACACTTCCATAACCTCCAACCTGCTGCAGGTCGAATAGCAAAAATGGAAGTGTTGGCCGTTCTCTGAAGTTATAGAAATGAATTTCCTTGCAGGGTAATTCGAACAAGGGAATACACATTGTCTTTTGACGTGACTCGAAGTCTTCCACGTCATTAGACGACCAAAGCCCGGAGAACTCTAAAGGCTCTAAGTCGTCCACTGTATTTGGGCCATCCCGTTCGGATTCTTGCAGAGTGGCGTCCTTGGATCTCTTATACAGCCGGACTGTGACTTTGGATCTCGGGGCCTTCTCTGCTTTTTCTCTTTTCACCTTCAGCGGAAGGTGCTTATCCATAATCTCATAGTCTATGAAGTCACGGATGAGTGATATCTTGCCCATCATGATGAGAATCGCAAAGATCTTGAGTCGTGAGGATTTGCGGCTGCATCCCAACTTGCAATCCTTGCCTAGAACTTCTGCCGTCATGCGGGCTATTTCCACTTCGTCGTAACTTTTGAAAGTTGCTCGGAGCAGGCCTGAAACGACTTCCAAGTTGACAATGTCGCAAAGCTTGTTGTGAGGTAGAAAAGCTTCGTCGTTCACAACCGACACCTCAAATGAGCACCTCATATCATCCGCGACATCCTTAGCGTTGTATGTCTTCAGGACCGTCTGATCAGATTTGTTGTAGTCTGGATCAAGGCCAGCAAAGGTGGTCTCTGAGACGTTGAAATCTGCGCAGTCCAAGCTGTCGAAGACTTTCTGCTCCCACAGAAGTTTATCTCCGTTTTCTTCGAGTTTTGTACTATCCGCTTCGATCACGTTGTGTGAGCCTAGCAGATAGGTTGCCGGGGCTGCGCCGTCGTGCTTATAGTCAGGAATTCTCAGCGTAATTGAGATATCCTCAGTGTTCGAAGATAATTGGTCATTTCCACGACTGGCCATGATATACGATTTGTCGTGGGATGGCTTATGGTTGGTTGTGAAGATGTCAATGAGTGCAGAATTCGTGGCGATTCGTGCCTTTGCAAAAGATCTTCCCAAAAGATCTTCCCAAAACCGGATGGGTATGCTAGGGAAGCAATTGATCCAGTAAAATTTCACGGCGGGGCCTCGGTCTGGATTTATGAGAGTGGTCCGCTCAAGCCTGCTTCAGTAGCTGCTTGAGACCATAAACCTTTGGTCGGTTCTCCGCTTGCCCCTGATGCCCCAAATCTCTATCTTTCGGAGAGGGACCCCTGTGACTCGAGGCTCTCGACTGCAGAGACACTCCCCAACACCACCCACCAGCAGCCCATTTGAACGAAATTGCAGACATATCTAGAGCTGCCTCCTCGGCGTGGTGGCTTGGTGTTCAGGCTTCGGTGAAGCTGGTCAAATCATAACCTTCCGTTGCAAGGGTGTTGAATAACAGGCTGCCAGGTAACTACAGCCCTTCAATCGTAAACAGATAGTCCTCCCATGTGATGAAATACTGAGTGTGGAAGGTTCACACCCTCTTACTTTACGAGGACATGCAGGACGCGCCAGAATCTGGACACACCAGCATATATGGTTGCTTCCACCATGTTAGATACAGCCTGATCCAAGTTTTTCAACTTCCGAATTTAGCTTGGATGAAGAGGGTGGTCAGCACGAGGCGTTCTGCACTTTCAATGCAGGCTGCGACGCCAAGACGTTCTGTTTTGGAATATGTGTGGCTGGGTGCGGAGCTGTTGGCAAAGTAATTTTCCACTTTTCAGCACACCGGCAAGGCGTGACCACTCCTACGAGGCAGCAGGAATTCAACAAGTTCATTCGGGCATATTTTCTGTTTTTATAACCTGTTTGAGTCTGGCCTCCGTCTAACGAATGATATATGAACATCCACAACCCACGTCCAAAATTCATGAAATCGTCAAAAGTATTCATTTTCGCACACTACACAAATATTCTGCTAGTATGACATCCGTTCAAACTTCAACACAACCGTCCAGCTCAGACAATAACACAAATAAAGCCTTGAAGACTACTTTTGAGGTACATTCGAACCTTGTGAGCTCGACTGATCTTCTGCAAGTTCTTACGAATTGCTTCGGTCAAGACAAGTTCGCAGTAGAGATGAGGCACAGTATTTACATCATAAGAATACAAGAACCTCAAACGGACAAAGAACGAATTTCATTAGAAAAGTTTGCCAGTGGTACGTCAATCAAGATCTCGTGTGCGGTCGAACTTGGCCAGTATCGATAGCCATGACTGTATCGACAAGGATGACTGATCTTGTGGTTCCAGGGTGATCGATCTTTCGAAGGATAGTCGGTTTTTCAAGTATCTCTTCAGCCTGGCGTTTGTTCATTCTGTTAGCGATATCATACAAGCATCCATAGACTGCCTTCTATGAAGCCGCTCCCACCGAGCATCGCCGGAGTTCTAAGCGAAATACAATTTTAAACATCGTGGGACTAGGAGCATGGGAACACAATTTGAATATTCATCGCATGTCAAGAAATTATCTTACTCGTGACGCACCAGGCAAATAATGTTAAGAGATGGGACATGCAGTAGAATAACGCGAAACATAGTAGTGGAGATAGGCTGGTACTAAAACACAATGACTTCAACTCCCTCATCCTCCAATATGTCATTCGAAAGCAATTTTCCCACTCCAGTTCTGACGTACTGTTCCCTCTCTGAACACGAAATCGGCTCGATGATAATAACGTAGTGCTGGACATTCTTCATTGAACTTGTCGCTTTCTCTGTGCCTAGAATAATGCATCTAAGACCTGCTCGTGCTGTCTGACCCTTTTGGTCGAAGATGATCTTTTGTTCCAGGTCTTTCGCATTTATACTCAGCTTACGTGAACGGCCTTGTAGCACATGAGCGACGTCGTCATCCCGGCCTGCTTTCCAATGCTTTTTGCGTCCGCTTTTACTGTGGAAAGGCGTGAAGATATTCTCGTGCCAGTCTATACGATCAAACGGGGCGTCCAAAAAGGAGATCGGACCATTTCGCGACATCCAGGACCAGGAAGGAATGTGCCTATCCCTAATACCAGGGATTGGAACCAAAGTTGACTCTTCTTGTCGTTGCCAAAGTAGACTCCTGTGCAGGTATCGTTCGAAGACTCCAAATCCGCCTTTGGTATCGAAAGTCTTCAGGAGTCTTTCCTCCAGACCACGAATTGCTATAGGTCGATCGGACACATGACTGAAGTCGAGCGTCGAGTATATCTGGTAGAGATTTTGGAAGAGACGTATCCTTGCCCCCTTGAAATAAGCAAGAGCAGAGTTCGGGAAGTTGGAATCTCCAAGAAATGCAGCTTTGGGGCTTAGACAGCAAGTTAGCGTTGATAGGTCTTGTGACCGCTTTCGGAACGAGGACGTACTTTACTAGCTTCGTCAAAGTCTCGCAATGAATTCCGTATCCGCACTCCCAATAGACCTGAGTTGAGGTGAAGTGAATGGTGCGCCGCGCGAGCGCTCTTTCTTGGAGAACCCAGCCCCTTTGATTGAGAACAGATTTCTCAACATCGTGGCGGAAGTTATCTATCGATTTGCGGATGAAGATGGTTCTACCTGATGGCGTCTGGATCGCAAGCGACGAAGGTTGCTTGCCTCTGGAGAAGATGAAGCCTTCTGATGAGGATTTGGCCGAACTGGCAGCAATCGTGATGTTGGCAGAGCTAAATACATGCTCCATGGAGACGGCTTCCCTCTCCCAGTCGCTTGGATCATCCTGGATAATGCAAAGCGAGTCTATCCAAAGGTAACGGAACCCAAGCACCCTAGTGACTTCGATAGCATCCTTGAAGGTCTTTGGCAACTCATCAAATTCTATGCATGCTGCGAGCTGGGTGATGTTGCTTTTGAGGGTTTTGAAGCATTGTGCACTGCCCCAGCAATGGCTCAATGCAACATACTTACCAGAGGCGGATGCCTCCGTGCAAAGAAGGCGGAGGTTGGGTTGGCTTTTGGTACCAACATCCAGTACGCGGGTAGGAAGCTTTGCTTCGGGTTCGAAGAGATGATTGTGCTGTTCGTCGCAAACTCGTATCCATTCTCTGAGTAGTGTAGTCTGGAATTCGCTGAGTGGTTCGGAAAGCTGGGCGGGCCCAAGTTGCGTGGAGGTTGGAGCGAAGTCGTGATCATCTATGCATTCGTTCAGAAGCTTCTTGCACAAAACATTATAACAAGGATATTTGCTACAAGAATGGCTTACCTGGGTCGGCATAAATGGATAATAGGGTTGGCCCGTGAGGTTCTATGTTGACTGTCGACTCAACTCGACGGCATCTGAGCTCATCACTGTCCTCTAGACCATTTTCTATTGCAGCCTTGTAAAGCATATCGCAAAGGTCGCAAAGTTCGGATCTTTTCTTAATTTTCTCCATTCCGTCGCAAATCGTAAAGTCGATGGTTCCAACTTCAAGACACTTTGGGCACAGCTTCGAAAAAAGCCTTGGAGTGGGAGGCTCGTTACTGCGAACGATATTGAAAAAGTCTTGGGCGAAGACATTGTCCAGTCTTGGTTCCCATTGGTCGTTGAGTTTCATAGTCTCCTGATCAACGAAGGGTTATTAGCCGACGCGACCTTTGACTGACTGAAGATCCATACTTACGGACTGTATTCATTAGCAACTTTGGTTTGCGATGTTCAATGAGCTTCGCTGACCGCCTATGAAAAAACATTAGCAACTTTCTGATAGTTTTACATTACAGGGGCTATCTGGAGTGGTGCGTAGATAGGCAATCCTGGGGGCCACTACATTCTGTGAATCAGGTTAGAACTGCTTCAGATATTGTCGTGTAATGTTTTGCGGGTACGCACATACTGGATCAATCAAGTTAGCTTCGTGCCGAAACCCACATTACGCAATACGCAAGCAAACAATCCACTCACTTCTTCCTCACGTTTGGATAGTACAGAAACTTCAACGTCTTTCGTGTTCATGCTATCAGTACCTGGGCTACGTCTGCCTGTGACCTCCGGTACTACAGGGCTCCGATTAGCTGCGATTCAAAACCTTCTAATACACGTCCTAACCAGTAAGGGCTATGTTTTGAAAGTAGCCATTATTCCGTGATTCACTCGTCCGGATGCTTCGAAATTCATCGCGAGTTTCCGAAGCATCCGCTCGATTCTTGTATTCCGGTACAAGCATCCTCTTATCGACAAAGTCCAAACAACGCTTCAGAGCGGTTCCGCCGCCATTATTCGCAATGTCACTTCGCAAACTGTCAATCAGTTCATCGACTACAAGGCTTCGCTGATACTCGCCGGAGCTGACATGCCAAAACGGAGTATTCAAGTCGATAAACCTGTCCACTCTGCTCCGTCCATAGCAAGTCCAAACCAGGAACTCAAGAAAGACGCAACCAAGAGACCACACATCGAAGACGCGAGAGAGCTGATCGACCTGCTGTTGTAGTTCAGGGGCTTCGTATCGCTTAGTGCTAGTTTTCGCACTCGTTATGATATTGAGTCTCTCCCGCTGCGTTGTTTCGTCCTTGTGAATCTTGGCCAGACCGACATCGGCGATTCGTAGGCGGCCAGGAAGTTCTTTCTCAATGAATAGGAGAATGTTCGAAGGCTTGAGGTCCGTATGGCGACAATTCTTCTGGTGAAGGGCTTTGGTAGCCCCGGAAAGGCCATAGAGTTGGTTGAGGACCCATCGAATATTCGCCTCTCCCTCAGGTCGTGGGTTGTTTCTCCAATAATCCTCCAATGTTCCACCATTAGCCCATGGAAAGAAAAACCCACATCTATCGCCTCTGGTGTAGGCTGCCAAAGGCTGGATTAAGTGAGGGTTGTTCAACTCGTTGATCATGCGGAGGGCTTCGGACTCCTGAGCATAGTAGGCGTCCATGTTGGGATGCAATTGCTTGAAGGCTATTTGCTGACCTTTGTATTTATCCTAGCGGGTGATATTGTGAGATGAGGTAGGTACAAGAACGTCAACAGGCTAGAGTTCTTACCTGTATGTGAGCCTCGTGAATTTTGACACTCACGACCACACCAGAATACCCCACTTTCCTCGTAGAAACGGATTCTTCGGTGATAGGAAGAGGGCATTTGGGGGAAAGGTGGTAGTCGAAAGTGTCAGCTCCGAATACAGGCGCCATGAAACGCCATTGTTTGGTGTCGAAATCCTCCACGTCTCTGCTTCTTTTCCACCGATCGAAGCAATGCCACAGCTTGCGATTGCTTCTCTGAGTCTGAGACTTCCTTCGACTATTGGTATGAACACGGTAGCGTTTCGCGGTCTTTTCCCATGTCTTCGTGATCGGCAAGTCAGCATCATAGAAGCCATCTTGTTGTAGCAAGCTCAAGTGCTGCACACAATCACAGTGGGCCAAGATTAGAAACACCCGTCTAGCTGGATTGTCTTCGTCGGTAACGTATCTCACAAGGGAATCGATGTTGGCGTCCTTGGGGAGATACTGGCAGTTAGCGCGGAGGTACTCTCGAACATTCCGACGAGCGGTCAATTCGTCAATGGCGTCATTTGGTAGAAATGGCTTTCCGTCCGTGGGTTCTTCGATACGTTCCCGAATTTCGCTCTCAATGTCCATGGCTGCGCTCGGTCCGACAAGCCGGGGAACACAATGTTAGGATGGCGGCCGAATTTCGTCACTTTTGCAGTCGTTTGAAAGCGTCAAATTCGGGATCCGACTGACTTTGGCTTCCGGGCGTCACAGTAGGGTATGTTTTATAATGCTCACGGATAGCTGAAAGCGAAGGAGAACACGGCGTCAGCTGCAAAATGTCAGCCGCTGGCAAAGGCGGACCCCGCTGCAAAACTCTTCCCCCTCACCAGGAAAAACGGCCACGCCAATCAAACAACGTCCAAATCAACCTGGTATTGTGCCATCAGATATCATAAGTACCATGCATAGACCATACCTCGGCCGCTGCTTTAAGTCATCTTGATTCGTCCGCAATTCTGGTGTGGCAGGCTTATCGACACCTACGCCTTGTTCTGGTGCACATGATGTTACGATTTGCGAGAAACTAGTAGAAAGACTGCCTACTTCCTCTCACCGAGTTCTTACAGTGGCATAAATTAACGTACTATTGGTCAGCCTGATTCTAGCTTTCATATCAGATACTGATCACATTAGATTTCGCGCGTTTTGGACAGTGCAAAGGGGGACAAAGTAGGCTAGCAGCGTATGAAACCCGGAAGCTGATACCTCTCAACATATAGATGCAGAAGGAGGCCTCTTTTTCACCCGGTGGCTGAAAATTCCAAGCCCTACTTTGACCACAGCAGCTGTGAAGCGCGGGTAGATATTGATCTCACTTCGGGCGGTCGATATCAACTCACACACAACCTGACATAGCCAGATCAGGTGATTATAACAGCCTTAAAGCAGTCTATACTGCCACCTTGATTGCATTGAAATGAATGGTTTGGCGGCAGCCGTGATATCCCCATTCTCCGGCAGTCGAAATTGCTGCTCAGGCCATCAAACGACAAAAGCTTCGTCGGTGACAGCAGTGGCACCCAAGAAATTCGGGAAGCTATTGAACAAGTTAAGCCAAGTTAGGTTCGGGTATCACAACCTTGCCTTGAAGCCGCATAAAGACATGAGGTGACGCCTATATACCATTCATAGCGAAGGTGTATTTGCAGTTCTGAACACATGCTTTCCAATCTCATATCATTACGGCTACGGGTCACAATGCAACATCAGTCAAAGCTCCATGATGTCCCACTGTTGGACAGTTGCCATAGCTCCGAGACAAAAACAAGCTTCGAATAGAGCAAAATATTGCACAATACGTAGGAGCTGAAGGCTGTGACAACAGGATTACTGAATACCAGTTTGGTGAATTTTCCCAGGACACAGAGCTTCCTAAGACGGGCTACAGTAGATATTTCTAGTTATATCGCCGTACAAATTAAGGCTTCAGATATCCCAGACTTGCCTTAGTGGATAGCACTGCTGAGTGCGCCTTGTCTTTTCTGAAAGTCAATCCACTCAGACAGCTTCTTAATCTTCTTGCCATCCTCTGTCATTGTCGCCACAAACAGGCAATCAGTGCCGTACGACCCAGCCGCCGTCTCACCCTTGCTTGTGCACACCATCGTCACCGTTCTCTTCTCCACATCTGTGAACATCTCATTGATAGTGATTTTGATTGACTTCAAGTGCTTGAAGATGTTGGCTGCTCGGTCGTTGGTCCGGAATCTGGACGCAATGTCAGTTAAACTTTTTATTGGAAGATGCTAGGATTCGGATTCCCAACCGGGCACTCACTGTTCTCTATTCATTGGGTAGATGCCGTTTGTATCCGGATGAACCGCGTAGTGAATGTCTTCAGTCCATTTGGAAACAACGTTTTCGATAGAGCGGCTCTCCAAGTCTGAGAGCCAGCCAGAGGCAGTGGACTCGAGGGTTTCCTTCATAGACATAACTGGTTTGGGGAGATAGGTTAACTTGTTGAGTAGTGGATGGGCGAACTGTTGATAAGGCTGGGCAATCTTCGAACCAAGACATAGCTGGACGACGCCCATTTAAGTATTTCGCGTCTAGGTCTACACATAGTAGGCAACAAACACGAGACGCGGCAGCTTGACCAGTGCATCGTCGTTTGAAATCGAAAGTCCGCCCTGCTTTGTCAGAATACTTGCGGAGCATTCATTACTTTCGCTGTTACTCAGCAAGTCCCGCGCTCGCTTTCGGTTTCCGAATTCAACCAATCATCTTGCTGAAGTCGACGCTCTGACCGTAACACAGCTTTGCCATTGGCTTACATGTTGCCAAGCCTAGTTCATAGCAGCGCCGGCAGTTGAATAACAGCTAATTAATGGCCAATGGGCCAATACCAACCGGTCCTAAAATTGAGCTCGGCACATGCCCACGATAGCTTCGCAACCGCAATCCGCGCGTCGCGCGCGTTCAGCCAAGAGACGCACTTCTGCGCACTTGCGGACTGCGTCTTGTACATGGCGGAATTGCGGACTTGAAAGTCAAATCGTCAAGATGATCTTCAGGGTTTTGAAGTTGGGTTGATTTGTAATTCGCGAATGTCCAGCCTTTGCTCTGGAGTTTTCCACGACGAATAGCACTTAAAAGATGGGTATCCTCAGTTGTAGTTAAGATTGCATTGATGATAAGCAAGGTCGATTTTGTACTTAGAAGAGTTTTCAGAGTTCTTCTTTTTCGGAACGTGAGCTTTTACAAAATATCTTCTTCACTCCAGGAAATCCTGTATCGCCCACAGCAACCTAGACATCATGACTTCCCAGAAGCTCCTCATTATTTTCTTGCAGTCCGCTAACGTGACTCAAGCGGTGGCACTGTGTTAACCCAGTTGCTGAATTCGACGGTACCAGGGATAAACTCCCTCTCTTTCAGCGCCCTGATTCGGCATCAGAGCCAAGCCGACATCCTCGCTGAGAAGGGCATCCAATCAATCATATTCAACGGCTTGGACGACACTGAAATCATTCGACAAGCAGCGGCTGATCACGATGTTATCATCCATATCGCCAACAGCTTTCACAAAGCTTCAGCAGAGGCTATGCTTCAGGGTCTACATGACCGAAAGTCCAAGATGGGAAAGACTGGCATCTTCATCCACGTGAGGGCGCCTCTCAAATCACTCATTTTATCAATGAAACTGGGTAAACTAACATGATTAGACTTCCGGAACCAGCAACGTTGCTGACTTCCCCATCACGAAGAAGTACCGTGGAACTCGGGTCTTCGCCGACAAAGAAGACATCTTCAGCTACGAGAAATCTCTTGACCTCCAAGAACCCTATCAAAATCGTTCAGTTGACATCTTTGTCGCTGAGACCGGCAAGCGATTGGGAGTAGACACGTCTCTATCTGGCCGCCTCTCGTTTTTGGCATCGGGAGTGGCTTCTTTAGGACACTCTCCAATGGCCAGTTGCCCATGCTTATGCGCTTGGCCCTGACCAATGGCGAATCCCGGTATATTGGTGAAGGTGCAGGGCGATGGAGCCATGTTCACGTGGAAGATCTGGCGGCGCTCTATGAGACTGTCGTTGCCAGCGCCATTGCCGGGAAGATTTCCCCTCACGACCGAGCCATCTTCTTTGCCGAGATTGGGAGTAGTAGCTTCGCCAAAATTGCTGACAACATCGGAAGAGCCGGGTTGAAGCTAGGAGCGCTCAAAACCGCCAAGGCCTCATCAATGTCACTCGAAAGCATTGCCCGTGATCAGTTTCACGGGGATATGAACTGGGCCGAGATTGTCTTTGGTTCAGAATCGTTGGTAGCTGCAAATCTCTCAAGGGAGATTGGGTGGAAGCCCAAGAAGACGGCGGTGGATTGGGAGGCAACATTCATCGACGAGTTTCGGTTGGTGTTTGGCGAAGCAAATGGAGTAAACAAAATGAAGTAAAGGAGTGTGGTATCAGTCTTTTTCCTTGGGGCTGAAATACGAATTTTGCAGACATCAAATCTACGAAATGTTCCAATTATGACTTTCGGTCGCCATGTCCAAGTACCCTTTCTGGTAAATAGTAGCGCACGCAGCTCAAGCTTTTCAATCGATCTCATCATAATCTCATTTAGCATGAAATCTCCAGCTATAAACATTGAATTGTACTTTTTAACATTGTAGGTTGGGTAAAATGCTGGAATACCTTTATTGGCTACTATAATCGCAGAAGGCTGTGAATGGAAATGGGACTACAACGAGTGCCGGCGGTACTTAGGGTTGCTCGTCGACAGCTGCAACTGCGGTGGCATTGATAACAAGCAGGGAGGTACGGTGACCAATGAGTGCTATTCGTGGACGACTGATCCTGACGCCAAGCTGTGAGTGGAAGGATGAGGTGGTTGATGCCGGTGCTGGCACATCGCCCCCACTGGCTGCTGTTTCCAATTTTCGAATCGAAATAGAAGTATATCAGTTCAATCAGTTCAAGGTGTTCTCATTTCAAAACAAGATGCGAATCGTCTTTCTGTCTAATCTGTCAATACTCTTCATCTAACTAATCACTGCTTTTTTCCAATCATTCGGAATATCTTGCTAGGTAGCCATTGACGCCAACAACGGGTTTGGCGGTCTGCTAACTTCTCTGAACCAATCATCCTGCTCGCGAATAACCAAATGATGAGGCATGTGATAGTCGACCATGAGCTTCGTCTCCGACGGCAGCGGCTCGTTCTCCATCACGTCTCCCATGGCGTTTAGAAGGTCCGCACGCGACCTCAGATGCAAGGGATGCACGGTTGAGAGGTAGTCATGAATCGTTACAAAAGAACCGACGGCGGGCCTCACTACCACGATAACAGTTTTCCCGCGTGGCCTTTGAGTTCCGCAGCATTTCAGTAGATGCAATAGTCCGTCTTCGTCCGAGGCCGGATCATAGTCGGGGAGTAACCCCCAATGGGTATCGGCGTCCGTTTGCTCCTCCTCAACCTCATCGGCGCATTCGGGGTCAGTATGCTCGCGGTGGCATTCAAGCCACACGTCCTCCCACTCATTAAGGTCATCGACTACCACGGTCATGGATGAGACCTTGGGTTCCGTGAGCGCAGCCTGCGAGAACGGATACCAGGCGTGGTTCTGGAAGTAGGGCTCCAGAGAGCTCGTGTCCCTTTCGGTTGCCATAATGTGGACGGCGGATTCAAGCGGACCGTCAATATTCCAGAAGAGTCGGCGGGCCTCAGAAGAAAGCTTGGGAGGTTGGTGAACGGCGCAGAGTGCGTCGTGAATAGGAATAAGTGCTTCCCCCTCGAAAGTCGACATGTTGGTCTAATAAAGATTGAGTCTGTCTGATTGAGGCACTGAAAATGATTTTTTGGCTTGTCGCAATGTCGAGCGCGTAATTTAGCCTTTGAAGACGTTGTTGAGAAAGGAAAACGCACGCTGCAGAGAAGCATGTGGGCGACGGGGTTTATATATCAACACCCCTGCAACAGGCTCCAACGGTTACATCTGCTAACAATGACCCAGGCCCAATCCACGTACGGCAAAAGATCTTCCAGTCATAGTTTTGCTACTTTGAAGACCTGTCGCAACGACTAACTCGAGAATTCTTTAGATCTCCTGAGGGGTTGATGGACGACCTGTCCCTGCGAACTTGTAGCGTTTCAGGCTCCTTTTCTATGGACGACTCTTTCTTCCCTTCAAACCACTCCCCATCCCCAAAGAGACTTAGGAGTGACATTGGCGCATCATGCTTCTTTGTCTCCTGGTTACACAGGCGGAAGTATTAGGCTATGCAGTTGACTCGGTCGTCGACACGAACGCTGTGGCGGGTATTACTTTGCAAGCGGTGCATAGAAACTCGAGTTATGGCGCAGTGAGCATCTCGTGCCCACGGATGTCTAGATTCACATTGTCAGTAGCTATCCATTGGTAAGTTCGAAATCTTACTGCTGGGCATGAAAGGACTGCTGGTGCTATTTGAACTAGAGCCTGTTGGTTGGGGCATGGCTCGATTGTTGCGCAGTCTGACGACAAATCCTGATGCAAGGAATTTCTCAGAAGCACCTTAGACGCGAAAGCTGTACATATGTTATATCTACGGTCTACTCATGCAAAGTTCAATATGTGTAACAATGTGGTTAACTGTGACCCATCAACATCGCACGAGGATGGAGGTCAGAAATAAGACAAAGGGTCATTCTGGGCATACCCAGGCAGATAATTGGTGGTCAATTGGTACTTGCCCGGCGGAATACCGGAACTTCACCTCACAGGGCCCACCGCAGCTTGCTAAATGTGAAGAAAAGAATTACGCCGCAGCGAAGCAGGTCGTCGCGGGGCTATATAACTATAAACGAAACTTTATAGGGAGTAAAACATAAATATAAACACAGAATAACATCATATAGCTCCATCCTCCATTCAAAGAATGTTCTAATTCTTGGAACCCGTCAGCCTCAGCCGTTGGCGCTTTGTCTGGCTCGTTCAGCTTCCGCCCCTTAGTAGTTGACCCGACCCAGATGGGCACCGGTAAACTCTGCAAAGTAAATGGCGTCCGGTTGCTGGTTGTTAAGATCACACGGGGCACTGACGCTCGTAGGAGTGACGTACTCCACGAGCTGCTGAGTCTCGGGGTCGTACTGTGCAACGCGGTTTCCAAGGAACACCAGGTTACCCTCTACAAAGTAGACCTTGCCATCGTTACCGACACGGATCGGCCCAGGCAACGCCAGTGCCCCGGAGGAACCGATGCTGATAAGACCGTTCTCAACCACAGTGGAGTTGCCCGCAGCGCGGATGTCGGCAATGAACATCTCAGTCACCTCGCCTGTTGTGACATCGATGGTTCCAAAGTTTCCACCGCCAGTTCCCGTCCACCAGATGAGGCCATTCTTGTCCGTCGCGACACCTTGAACCAGAGACAACGGTGTCGGGATTTCGTACTCCTTAATCTCTTTGGTGATCACATCGATGGTGCCGACCCTGTTGCCCAGAATTTCCGAGAAGACCATTGTGTTGCCCGGGCCAGCTTGGATGATGAGAGGGGCCGAAAGGGGGTTTGGCAGCGGGTACAAGTCGTACTTGTGGGTGTCAATGTCGAACCGGCCAATGGCGTTGAGGCCGACGGACGTGAACCACGCTCCACGGTCGCGGCCGCCGGCGACATCGATGGTGACACGGATTCCGGCAGGAAGATTGTCGAGAACAGAGATGTTGGTCCAGGGGAAGGGGTATTCGGTCATGCTGCCATCCTTCGGGTCCAACTTCACCATGCTGTTGCCGACGACTTCGGAAAACCACAGGTTACCGTCCGCAAGGAACTCCATGCCGCTGGGGAGTCCAACAGGGTTGTTCAGTGGGAATCTTGTTTGCTCGCCGCTTGTCAGATTCACCCGTAGGATCGTGTTTGACGCAATGAGTTCGACCCAGGCAATGTCGAGTTGATCAGGGTGAAACTCCGTCTCGCAAGCGGTGTCGAGTAAGGTGACAGCGGCATATTCCTCAAGTCCTTTCTCCCGTCTAGGCCGATTATGTCCCGATGTTGCACCGACGACAGTCGAGGAGCCGAGTAGAAGGCTGACGAAAGTTGAGGTCTTCATTTTTAACAAAATATCAAGCGTAAAAAGAGCGACGATTAAGTTGGCAATAAGGCGAGAAGGACTGACGATACCAAATGCTGCAAATTGATGCCACTCACTTACAACGGGATATTGCTAGAAGTATATAAACACGCAAGATTCCCGCCAAGGGGTTGTTCACTTGCATACGTCTTGGGCAGAGGGAAATTTGACCTGGCAAATACGGTGCAGTCCCTCCCTACACCGCTGGGTACGAATTAGTCCATTCGGCACGTGGCTCGGGGAATTTCTTGTGGTTGAAAGCTGACTCGGTTTCTCGTTGTCGGCACTTTTCTGATGTCCGCTGTCACAGAGTCTGCTGGAATCTGATGACTAGAACCCATGGCCGGGTAATGAGGTGGACAGTGTGCCATCGCAGGCGGGTCCTCCTATTCTTCCTTGTCTTCCTCTTAGACACCGCTTTCATCTTCTGCTTTTTGAGTCCAGGCCGAGAGCGGCCAACGGCCCTGGTAAGGTTGCCCCGTACAGAATCTCGGTTCGGCACAAACCGGGTCCCCCCGGGCTGTCAGACAAGGTTTCTTACGTCGCGGGCCGTCCATGGCTACACCCGATTTGTCTAGCAGCCAACGCGTTTCGTCCTCTTCATCCTGTCTCATTACCCGTGGCCTGGGTATCCTGGCGCTAGCTAAATCAATAAAAAGACGTGATTCCTCAACACCGTTGTGAAGAGACTCCCCATCCCACGGATACAACCCAAGTGCCAGAAGCACTGCATACAGCAATCGAAGGCGGTTCTGTGGGAACCCCTCATCACACGACGCTGGCCATGAAACCCTCACCACCAGCATGGGCCGAGGTGACTGGGCCGCAGGCGATCCAGGTCAGGTGAAATGGCCCTGTCGCCTGAGCTGACACGGCAAGTATGGATATCACCAGTGGTCAATGACCTCTCCCGGAAGGTCATTAGGAGGCAAGATGGGCATCCACGGGGCGACGGGTATTCCAATGGTCTCATCCTGGCACCCGAATGTGCCCCGAATACATCGCGGATAGCATGAGGTTTGGAAAAGTGACTGATTGGTTGATAATTATTCCAAGAATTGAGCGTTTCCCGCCGCGGGAATGCCTTCCGAAGTGAGTTTCGACTTTTTGATACCACAACATACGTTGACGGAAGGATCCGTCTTGGGATGAAATTACAAGCCTGTTCAAACGGACCATTCCATGGGCTCAACAAATATTGAATGCCGATCAAAAGTCAATCCTCCCGTGAGCGACAATCATGGTCGCCCACCAGAAGCCCATCTCCCTCATGGCAACTGACTCGAGCTTTCTTCCAACCTCGTCAGGGAAATCAGAAAACTCCCATTTCTAATATCCGTCAAGACTATCTTTCGCCCCTAAAAGCGAGGCGCTCTATTTGGCACCCCTATGTCCCCTATTTAGTACTAACTTAAGCCTTTTTAGGCAGTTTATAGGTATTATAGCTATAGAGGGTGCCTACTACTTTATAGCTACCTAAACTATCTTTATACTAGATATTTTATATAATAGTTATATAAATGCTAATAGTTTACTTAGAATATGTGAATTTATTATTTTATTAATAATTAACTCTCTATATATAATCTAAATACTATAGTATTAATATCCTCACTAAAATTATTTATTTTTATATTATTATTATATTATAACTATAAATCTTAAAGTATAAAGTCTTAATAACCTTATTAAAGTAGTTTATTAATACTAAAAGACCTATAAGTATAGTATAATTAAAGCTTAGTTATATTTAAATATATATAATAAGAAGGTTTAATAAAAGCTTAATTATAACTATAGAGGACGCCTTAAAAAAACTATAGTAATATAGTAAGATTTAAAAACTAATAAAACTAGTTATAAGTAGTTAGTATAACTTTTACTAGTTCTTAGTAAGTAAGTAATAATTATACTTAATAATTAATATAACTATTTACTTATTACTAAAGAGTTAAAGTTATAAAGTTAAACTTTCTATAAAATAGCTACTATTAAAGTAGCTAGTAGTAAAGAAGTAAAATATACTTATATAAAAGCTCTCTTAAAGTTAAGTAAATTAATAGTATAAGATATTATAATATAGATAAATAAAGAGGTAAATATTAAGTATATATAGCTAAAAGATATATATAATATATAATAGTAGCTATATTATAAGAAGTATAGCCCTCTCTTAACTACTTAGATATTTATATAAAAACTTAAGTAGAACTAAGATATTAGGTATCTAAGTTTTTACTATAATAAGAGGTTAAGTAAGATTAATATAGTGTTCTAGATATATATAGTACTTTAACTAGTAGAAGTTAAACTTTAAGCTTTTATTGATAGATACTATATATAAAGTTAGTTCTAAGTATAATAAGAAGAGAGAAGAAGCTTATAAGTAATTTAAGTTAATTACTTTAATATACTACTTTTTAAGGTTAATAGTATAACTTTAATATACTTAACCTTTAATACTACTTTCTACCTCATTTTAAATAAGAGTAGTATAGCATATAAGTAAGTACTTAAGTAACTAAAAGCTATAATTATTACTAAAAAAATTATACTACT